GGCTGCATCAGACTGATGCAACGACTAAGACAAACAGGCAATACGTCAGACAGGCCTAGGAGTGGTCGACCACGTGTGACAACGCCCGGTGATGATCGCCACATCCGGACAATTCTTCTGAGAAATCGTTTTGTAACGACAGGTACATAGTATCAGATATTAAAAGCTATTTACCATATATTATTCGACGAAAGGCACATAGAAAACGTTGGCAAAGCTCTAGAGCTGTCCCAGCACTTTTTCCCCGCTACAAATGCTGAAACAGTGAGTGAGTCAGTTATAGTCACATCGGCAGTAATACAAAATTATAAATTCATAATAAACGCAATTACATTAAATAAAACTGTCGACGAAGGCCAGTAAGATAAGTAGGCTATTACAGACAGAGAAAGTATCATGTACCTTCACAATTTAACACATATGGTGGAGCACAATAACAGATGAACTGTTTGCAAGTGTTTATCATATTGACACATCTCGTCAACATAATCAGTACAGTAACCATAGTAATGACCAGTGTGAATATCTGTTGAGGATATCATCTGATCCCTACAAAACTCTCACGCTGTTGACTGATCGACTGGTCCAGACTCGATTATTTACAGACCACCGTTATATAGCTGGATTATTGCTGAGTGCGGCGTAAAACTAAACTCACTCACTGACACATGATCTCCTATGACACGCGCTTGAAGTGATCCGCTTGAAGTGCACTACATACATATAGGACAATCTCCCCTTACACCCACTTACAGTGATCGACATAATCATTGCTACATGACCTCTGTTGACACCCACATAAAAAAAACTCCATAAACATTGCTAATGATGTCCCCTGACACCTATTTAAAGTGATCTACATAACCATTGATAACACAATCTCCCCTGAAAACCACTTTAAAAGAGTGGGTGAGTGAGTGAGTTGGGTTTCCACGCCGCTTTTAGCAATATTCCAGCAATATCACGGCGGGGGACACCAGAAATGAGCTTCACACATTCTACCCATATGGGGAATCGAACCCGGCCTTTCGGCGTGACAAGCGAACGCTTTAACCACAAGGCTACCCCACCGCCCCCACTTAAAAAGAGCTACATAACCATTGGTCCTATGACACCAACCTAAAGTGAGATGCATAATCATTGGTACACAATCTCCCATGACACTAAAGAGAATCTTCTGAACCACCGAATACATAAGTCCCTGTTGATAGCTTCATGGGTATCTTGTTTGTTGAATGGAAATTGGTACCAGTATAAGTGGTATGATGTTTATCAAAGTTCATGCTGCATACCTTGACTGTTGTGGCAAATGAAATACAATGACGTCAGAGACCCAAAATTGAGTTCTTGTAGAAGTCGAGGTCGTTACACACACTGGCAGCAGCATCAGTACAGCTCCGGCTTTCTTTCGGCGTTTGACCTTCACAAACATTTACAATGGAGTGAGTGAGTGATCGAGTGATCGAGTGAGTGAGTGAGTGAGCGAGCGAGCGAGCGCGTGCGTGCGTGCACTGCCTGTACATTAACCCATGTAATATAGAATGTAGCCCATTTACCTGTACACTACCTACATGTAATATAGAAGGTAACACATTTACCTGAACACTATCCAATGTAAATTACCCTGCACACGGTTCAATGTAATACATAATTACAGCATCCACTTGAACACTACATAAAGGTAATACAGAAGGCAACTAATTTACAGTACAAAACTGACCTACATGATTCGTATTTCATTAGTCATTCAGAGATAAACAAAGTTAACACATTCTATATACCTTAGAACGTAACGCATTTACGTAACATTTACCATTTATGTATGTATGTATGTGTATGTGTGTGTGTGTGTGTGTGTGTGTGTGTGTGTGTGTGTGTGTGTTTTGTCTTTAAACGTCTTGTTTTATGTAGTGTGACATCAAGTATCTGCTATCTTCAAAACTTTCAGTCACACAACTAGGAGCCTACCTACTCGCATGGTACAGCCAGCCTCCCATCAACAACGATGCTTTGTGTACCCTCCTGGATTCGGTTACTGCGAACAGCATCAAAGCAGGGACGGATCAGCCCAAAGCAATGCTCTATACGTCCTTCACCATATGTCACGTTGACCATGTTCTGCTCAGGATTCTGCCGACGCTGTGTTTCATGGCCATCACTGGGAAACAGAGCTGGAGATAGTAAGCTAGCTCTTTAGTTGAAACCCGTTTTCAACCATAAGGTTTTAGGTCAACTTTACGTCCCTCACCCATGGAATGATTCGGTGATCGTGGTTTCGCAGACTGATTCATACTTGGATGGTGTGTTCTAGTGAGTGCTGCTATGTTGTTACACTAATGTTCGCTTGATGTAAGTAAAATACTTGTCAAAGCTTTGACTTGATTCCATCATCGAGGAAGCAAAGGGATGGTTCCCCAGGTCGCCTTCCATAAGAGTTATACATGAAAATCTAAAATCTATTGACAGCAGATTATGCTAAATTTCTACATTCACTGAGAAAACAACAATGCACCCACCAAATGAAAAACATATTGCTGACAAATGCAGAAGGATGACCACTCGTCCAAACATCGTCAGCGACTTGTTTCCACTGAGTTACTGGCGAGACTCAAACATGAACGATATAAAGCGAATATTACTGGCAGTAATTGCTACAAGCAACGGAGTATATTAGTGAGTGACCTGGAGTTGGGCTACCTTACGGTTTCGTAAGGTCATGATCCGCAATTGCGTTTTCGAAGGTCAACACTTCCGTGCCAGTAAGTGGGCGTTTTCACATTCACCATTTGGGAAACAGACACAGTCTTTGTAAGAGTACTGGTAAAACACATTGAGGACGATCATCTTGTGGCGCAAACCAAGGAATATAGTAAGGCGAATCACAACTAACGGATCGTGGCAGCGAACCGCATGAATCAATGGGATGGGGTGGGTCAAGAATTGGGGAAGGCGGAAATTGGTGTACGCGCTGATACAGGATATCTGCGTGTACGTGTAGACAAAGAAGTGAGTGTATATGTGTAGACAGGGGGCAGTGTGTAGAGGAGAGATATCTGTGTGTGTGTGTGTGTGTGTGTGTGTGTGTGTGTGTGTTCATGGAGACAGGATATGTGTGTGTGTGTTCGTGGAGACAGGAGATGTGTGTGTTTCTGTGTCTACACGGGAAGTGAAGGTACGTGAAGGCAGGGAATGTCGGACTGCTAGAGACAGGTGATATGCGTGTGTGCGTATGCGTGTGTGTGTGTGTCTGTTCGTGGAGACAGGAGATGTATGTATGTGTGTTCGTGGACACAGGGCTGTGTGTAATCCTGAAAATACAGCATGTGTGTGTGTGTGCGTGCGCGCGTGCGTGATTGGGCCCACTTGTACGGGAGATGCGTGTGAACATGTAGACGCGAGACTAAACTTTATGGTTAACGCCCGTATGCAGTATTCAGTCCAGGGCGGAAGGTATATCATAAGGAAACAATGCCGACATGTGAAGTCCACTTTGTAATTCAAAGCGTTTAAAACACCACACTCATGAGGATGTATTGGCAGGGTGCAGGCTATGTGCCTCATGGACGTATCATGAGCTACTTTGTGATCTTTCGCGAAAACGATCTGTACGTGTATGCTACAAAATCATCCTGTTTTCACACAATGCATTCAGAAAGTGGTCATGTACAACACGTGTAACAAAGATGGCAAACTACATCCTGGAAACAACTGTGGACGTACCAGATGTAATCAGTAATTGTATGATTATCCCCATCCGGAATCAGTGTATCTAGAAATCAAGCCTCATTTTATCCACGAATAAAGCAAAAGTAAGAAAGTCATCCTGTTTTCTACACTTATTTAATTATGATGTGATCACGACAAACAGATCCACATTGACTTTACGGTTCACAAATTAGTGAAATTGGAATATTTTTAAATGAAAGCAGACATAGACTGGCATGTTGCAAGTCATTCTTTCGTGTAAACCCCATACGTTGCAAAGCTCTATATTTAGATAGTATTGAGGGCTTTCCCAACTTTCATAGCAAAAATCATGTGTAAGCCCGGGATCTTTTTAAAATGGTAGCTACGTCCCTGGCGGGGACCCCAACTGTCCAACATTATGCCATTATCTGGATAGATATGCCAGAATAATCTTAACTGCGTTTGCATCAATCACGGCATAAGTGGAATTACCGCAATACCACTGTATTTGGCTCTGTCATTATGAAACAGTGAATCATGCTTAATTCTAATTAAGTACATGATTTAAATTTCAATCGTCATGGGTGACAGTCGGGTGTTGTGAGTGTTATCTTCATTGAATATTTGTTGTTTTACACCGCACTCAGCAATATTCCAGCTATATGGCAGCCTTCATTGAATGACTAGATCAGAATGAGGGCCTTTGCCCAGTTGCTGATCACACAACTGACAAACACATGACACCTTTAACAAAACCCAGATATTTATCATCGACATAAATTAGCCAAGGGTATTTTCTATTGCATTCTCTTGCACTGCTGAGCACAACTTTTGTACTGTTATTGCCTTGAATTCTGGTGACCAATTCTGAACATTCGTGAACGCACCGACCAAAATGATAGGCCTTACTGCTGCCAAATATTTTGTCCATTGTATTGTCTTTTATGGTTGCATACCTTATCCTGTGTGCATTTCAATCATGGAATTCGTCATTTGTTCACTGGCCTTTTATGGTTCGCTAACAATTTAGTTCAACACGTACTGGTGGGAGTGTTAACACCAGCATTTGAATTTCGGCGTCAACTGTCCACAAAAACTCTCTCCCTTATGTTCGTAGCTTGCTAAATTCTCTGGTTAGTTCTTTCAATGCAGCTTCATTCGCAAGTGTATATTATATCTGGTTTTGATTTGATTAATTAATTTACTTTTCACAACTCTATACAACGTTTTCTTATAATATTGTGAAACGAATGTATTGAGGCTGCTACAACATCATGTACACACTCATGAACATGTACAACACACACAAACCCGAGTGCAATGATGTCTTTATTATGCACAGTTAGTATAGGAACAAACAGGTACAGTAGCAGGGCGTGTTGACAGAAATATAGCCACAAGCTACAATAGTGGATAATGTAACATACATATTCTGTTAAAATGTCTCTAGGAGATCCATGCATTTGTAATTCGTGACCTGGGCAGTCTTATGCACTTATTCCACGGAGTTCCAACGGAGTTTAGCGTTGTGTTTTTTCGTGAGAGCAGGAAACATCTGAAGACTTCATGGTCGGTCCCTTGTGAAGCCTGGGAATACCTTGAGACTTAATGGCCATTCAATTGTTTAGAGAGACGCCTGAACTGTATCTAGCACTGTCCTGGTATTCCCTGCAGGGAATAGGCTACCATGCGACCCATCAGGATGGAGTCCGCCTCAGAGCAACCGGGCATCATTGCCACATCATTTCTGACGCAGGTAGATACACTAAATACATAAAGAGAAACGATTGTCAACAAAAATTCTGGATTACATGTTCTCACGTTAACTAAAGTGACGTGTTTATTCAGGGAGGGAATGAGGAGGGCGATAGAGAGACACGACTTTAGAGGATGACAATGATATAAAAAATTAACATGACAATTATTTGCAATACTAGCTGACGAAGCATTGCCATGTTGATGATGCTTCAAGTCGTGCGGGGGCGGTGGGGTAGCCTAGTGGTTAAAGCGTTGGCTCGTCACGCCGAAGACCCGAGTTCGATTCTCCACATGGGCACAATGTGTTAAGCCCATTTCTGGTGTCCCCCGCCGTGATATTGCTAAAAGCGGCGTAAAACTAACACTCAGTCAGTCAGTTCAAGTCGAGCGGGGAGAGGGGGTCGTATTGACCAGCCTCAATGCACATTGAACTGAATATTAGGTTTCTAGGTTCCGCATCGTTTGCAGTCGATATTCAGCTGAGACATACCGAAGAAATATTTTAACTTCAGATAAACTTCGTTAATGATAAAAAATTCTCAGTGATAAAAACGCTTCCATCTGCTGATAATTTGTATTCTTGATATAGAACGTCCATACAAGATAATATTCAGTCTCAGTTATATGCATAAAATTCCGTTGTAAGTAAACTATTGCGTTCCATCATTATGTGTCAGAACTAGATAACTTGACTGACTGAATTTAGTTTAACGCCGCTTTTAGCAATATTCCAGCAACATCACGGCGGGGGACACCAGAAATGGGCTTCACACAATGTACCCATGTGGGGGTTCGAACCCGGGTCTTCTGCGTGACGAGCCAACGCTTTAACCACTAGGCTACCCCACCGCCCCCCGGCATACCGGTAAACGACAATACGACATTGTAACAATTACGTATTGCGATACGTTTATGATGTACCGGTATACCGACAAAGATTTTATTTTAATCCATTCAACACCGCAGGAATGACTTCCGCCCGTATACCCCCTAAATGTTAATGGTGAGGAAAAAGATATATATGTATATTCAGGTGTTTCTCATGTTTCAATTTTAAAGAAAGTTTACTATATCTTATACAGAGAGACTTTTGCCATATATCTTGAGTGCTTTGTTAAGTCATTTAATAATAATAATAATAATAATAATAATAAACCTGATCTTGTCCTTTTTTGATAAAGCCAATGAATTTATATATATCATTGAATTTATTTTCTGTCCCTTTTGACAGGAATGTGATTGACAAGATCAAGGAAAAGCATGATAAATATGCGGACCTCGCCTTTGAAATGTCTCGCTTGCATCCCAAGTACACTGTCGTCAGGCTCCCCATTGTTCTCGGTGCCCTTGGTTTGGTACCTCCTCATCTTTTGGCGCAGATCAGGAGAGTGCCCGGGTTCTCCACCGGGAGTACAGCCCTTCTGACACTCTGGGTAATGCAGAAGGCTGCAGTGTTGGGGAGCCTTCATATTCTCCGGAAAGTTCTTGGTGGGTTCGACTAGGCAGCGTTTCCTGGGAGAAGTCCCATTCGGTGTCTGGGCTGCGTGTAGAGGGGGCAAGGGCCCTGAGCTGATGATGAGCCTTACCAGCCTGACTGTGCCAGGATCACCCGAACCCTCTCTGCTGCATATTATCTTTAATCTGTAAAACATAATAATAATAATAATAATAATAATCTGGGTATTTATATAGCGCTACATCCAGGTACTAATACCCGCTCATGGCGCTACAATACTATAGGAGAAAAGAAAATAGGTAAAACTATTTACAGAGAGACAATTGAACATAGAAAGTCTAGTAATAGGCAAGACGAAAAAAGTGGGTTTTTTAGAGACGATTTAAATGTGTCCAAAGATTCAGCATTCTTGATGTGAGTTGGCAAGTTGTTCCAGAGACTGGCGGCTGCGTGTTGGAATGATCTTTTCCCATAGGATGAGAGTCGAACGTTAGGAATGACAAGTAGCTGGTGATTCTTGGATCGTAATGGTCGGGTTGGAATGTACTGACACAGAAGACTGGAAATCATTTCTTTATAAGAAAGTGTCCCCAACGTTATTCATGAAATAGGTAATGTTAATAATACTTTTATTCAAAGACATAGACGCATAAATCATTGTTTTGATGAGAATGTGCACTTCAAGATCATGTCACATGATTGTGACTTTAATTACATTTTTCTTGAGTAATACAGATGTGCACAGTAGCTCAGACTCTTTAAATTACTTGAAATTCTACATCCTTTGTTGTCTAAAGACTGACTGACTGACTGAGTATGGTGTTACGCCGTTTTTTAGCAATATTCCAGCAATATCACGGCGGGGGACACCAGAAAAGGGCTTCACAAATTGTACCCATGTGGGGAATCGAACCCGGGCCTTCGGCGTGACGAGCGAACGCTTTAACCACTAGGCTACCCCACCGCCCCTTGTTGTCTAAAGAAGTTAAAGTATATAAATAGTATGGTTGGGTTTATGGAGGACATGATGTGAGCCAGTTTCAGTTGAATTTGTCATATACATATATGAAATAAGAAATCATACAATTATCTGCGTTAACTTTCTTTTGGACAGCAGTTACAATTAAAGGAAAGACTTGATGAATGTTGTTTATAATAAAGTGTACGGCTAGTAATTTTTTGGAAAATGCTAGTGACATACAAATTCCACTATCCCGGAGGACTTTATCAAAATATAAACAGAAGAATGTTCTGTTTTTTCCCTTTTTTTTGCTTTGAAAGAAGCTATACAATGTACAGTGGTTACTCACACATACTATGATTCAATTTGAAGGTAAAAGAATATTACAAAGTGGACAGATCTCAATAACTGTTCTTTCACAATATATCGCAATACGTATCGCAGTACGAAATTTGGGGCAATACACAGCCCAAGTCAGAACAATACCTCTATTCATTGTTTTGAATCATCGAGCATTGGTAAATATTCCACTTTGAGGCACTGATGTACGCAAAGTTACTTTGCCTAAATGAAACACCGAAATCATATATATCATATACACATTAGCTTTAATTAAGGACCACCTGAATCCAATGGTCGCTTTACCGTTTTTGCGAGAGAACGACCCTTGAACACGATAACGCGAGGTCACACGTTGCCCGATTGTACACCTATAACCTAATCAGGACAGTCCTAATGTTACTCCGGGTCGCAAGATCCCCTGATCTGTCACCCATTGAACTCGTCTGGGATGAAACGCTTCTGCGTTCACGCGAAAAACAACAGTATGCATTGGGTGCGTTTGGGTGCGCAGTTCTATGATGAAAACCAAGAAATAGTAACAAAACATAAGAGTGAGTAAGTTTAGTTTTATGCTGCTTTTAGCAATATTCCAGCAATATCCAGGGGACACCAGAAATGGGTTTCTACCCAAATGGGGAGCCGGACCTGGGTCGTTTGCGTCACGAACGAACACTTTAACCCCACCACCCAAGAGAGAATAATAACATGGTACTACTGAGATCATCCTGTGCATCAACACATACAGGTAAATATTTTTAGATGAAATAAACTATCTTACCACACGCTACTCGGAGGATTGATGCAGTTACGGATCATTGACGCGTTCATCGCGCGGCCAAAGCAGTCCTTCCCCGCTACAAATGCTGAAACAGTGAGGAGGATGGCAATGGTGGAACCACGACATGGTTTGCAGCGTCTATCTTACTTACGCATCCCTCCAACATAACCAGTATGGCAAACTTGATAACCAGTGAGAATATCATATACTGAGATCCCCCCATCATCAAACTGAAAGTAAACGTACCTATGACAAAGCACATAAATTCATAACATTTTCGGTTTGTCGTTTCCCATTACACATACGAAGAGAGAGCTTATATAACCACTGCGAACACAATTTCACATAGCACCTAAGTAAAGATATCTACAAAATCATTGCAACACAAGTGCACGATCTCCAGAGGCAACGTAAAGAGAATGTATAGAACCATAGGTGCACAATCTCCACGTCACCTGCCAACTTCAAGCAAATGTATAGAGCCATAGGTGCACAATCTCCATGACACCTGGCAACGTAAAGAGAATGTATAGAACCATAGGTGCACAATCTCCATGACACCTGGCAACGTAAAGAAGAATGTATAGAACCATAGGTGAACGATTTCCATGACACCTGGCAACAAAAGAGAATGTATAGAACCATAGGTGCACAATCTCCATGACACCTGGCAACATAAAGAGAATGTATAGAACCATAGGTGAACGATTTCCATGACACCTGGCAACAAAAGAGAATGTATAGAACCATAGGTGCACAATCTCCATGACACCTGGCAACGTAAAGAGTATGTATAGAACCATAGGTGCACAATCTCCATGACACCTGGCAACGTAAAGAGAATGTATAGAACCATAGGTGAACGATCTCCATGACACCTGGCAACGTAAAGAGAATGTATAGAACCATAGGTGCACAATCTCCATGACACCTGGCAACGTAAAGAGAATGTATAGAACCATAGGTGCACAATTTCCATGACACCTGGCAACGTAAAGAGAATGTATAGAACCATAGGTGCACAATCTCCATGACACCTGGCAACGTAAAGAGAATGTATAGAACCATAGGTGCACAATCTCCATGACACCTGGCAACGTAAAGAGAATGTATAGAACCATAGGTGCACAATCTCCATGACACCTGGCAACGTAAAGAGAATGTATAGAACCATAGGTGCACAATCTCCCATGACACCTGGCAACGTAAAGAGAATGTATAGAACCATAGGTGCACAATCTCCATGACACCTGGCAACGTAAAGAGAATGTATAGAACCATAGGTGCACAATCTCCATGACACCTGGCAACGTAAAGAGAATGTATAGAACCATAGGTGCACAATCTCCATGACACCTGGCAACGTAAAGAGAAATGTATAGAACCATAGGTGAACGAATCTCCATGACACCTGGCAACATAAAGAGAATGTATAGAACCATAGGTGCACAATCTCCATGACACCTGGCAACGTAAAGAGAATGTATAGAACCATAGGTGCACAATCTCCATGACACCTGGCAACGTAAAGAGAATGTATAGAACCATAGGTGCACAATCTCCATGACACCTGGCAACGTAAAGAGAATGTATAGAACGTATAGAACCATAGGTGCACGAATCTCCATGACACCTGGCAACGTAAAGAGAATGTACAGAACCATAGGTGCACAATCTCCATGACACCTGGCAACGTAAAGAGAATGTATAGAACCATAGGTGAACGATTTCCATGACACCTGGCAACATAAAGAGAAATCTATAGAACCATAGGTGCACAATCTCCATGACACCTGGCAACGTAAAGAGAATGTATAGAACCATAGGTGCACAATCTCCATGACACCTGGCAACGTAAAGAGAATGTATAGAACCATAGGTGCACAATCTCCATGACACCTGGCAACGTAAAGAGAATGTATAGAACCATAGGTTCACAATCTCCATGACACCTGGCAACGTAAAGAGAATGTATAGAACCATAGGTGCACAATCTCCATGACACCTGGCAACGTAAAGAGAATGTATAGAACCATAGGTGCACAATCTTCCATGACACCTGGCAACGTAAAGAGAATGTATAGAACCATAGGTGCATGATCTCCATGACACCTGGCAACGTAAAGAGAATGTATAGAACCATAGGTGCACAATCTCCATGACACCTGGCAACGTAAAGAGAATGTATAGAACCATAGGTGCACGATCTCCATGACACCTGGCAACGTAAAGAGAATGTATAGAACCATAGGTGCACGATCTCCATGACACCTGGCAACGTAAAGAGAATGTATAGAACCATAGGTGCACAATCTCCATGACACCTGGCAACGTAAAGAGAATGTATAGAACCATAGGTGCACGATCTCCATGACACCTGGCAACGTAAAGAGAATGTATAGAACCATAGGAACCATAGGTGCACGATCTCCATGACACCTGGCAACGTAAAGAGAATGTATAGAACCATAGGTGCACAATCTCCATGACACCTGGCAACGTAAAGAGAATGTATAGAACCATAGGTGCACAATCTCCATGACACCTGGCAACGTAAAGAGTATCTATAGAACCATAGGTGCACGATCTCCATGACACCTGGCAACGTAAAGAGAATGTATAGAACCATAGGTGCACGATCTCCATGACATCTGGCAACGTAAAGAGAATGTATAGAGCTAAAGGTGCACAATCTCCAAATGACACCCACGTAAAGAGAATCCATAGAACCACCGCATACACATACATTCATGGTATTGCACAACAGTTCGCTCTCGTAAACATAGATGGTACTATCATGCGTTTTATGAAGTGTAATCAAATTTCATGCATCATACCTTCACCGTTCTGGCAAATGAAGTCAATCACCAATTGAGAGCTGCTAACGCCGTAGTAGAAAGGGTTGTTATTGCAATGACTGGCAGCGTCAATACAGTTGCGGCTTTCCTCCAGGACGTTTGGCCTTTCACAAGCATTCACCAATACATGAGTGAGTGAGTGACTAAGTGAGTCAGAACTTAATATATTTTAGCCATATCGTGACTATGACAGCTGTATATAAACAAACACACGGTAAAAATACCTATCGACAAAGGACTGTAAAACAATTAGACTATCACAAATTTACACTTAAAACTCGCATGTAACCATAAGACGATATTTTTCTATACACGTCGATATAATCTAAAAAGCGGCTATAGATCGCTAAAAAATGAATATACCATACCTAATATATAACATAACGCATTTACCTGTACACTTCCATGCCTCATTTACCTGCACTCTTCAATACCTAATATATAACATAACGCATTTATCTGTACACTTCCATACCTAATATATAACATGAGTCATTTACCTGTACACTTTCCAATGTACAATAGAAGATTTGCTCATTTATCTCAACTGTTTCCATAAATATGACCAATGAACTATTTCACGGAAAGCTAGAACACTACGCAAACATACCAAGGGTTATCGCCCTTGCATTACTATAAACACGTTCCATGAAACAGACTTTAATAATGAGTGAGTGAGTATGGTTTTACGCCGCTTTTAGCAATATTCCAGCAATATCACAGCGGGGGATACCAGAAATGGGCTTCACATATTGTACCCACGTGGGGAATCGAACTCGGGTCTTCTGCGTGACGAGCGAACGCCTTAACCACTAGGCTACCCCGCCGCCCCTCAAACTTTAATAGGGGCTCAGAGACGACGCATTGATGTCACTGTATTCACATGGGTGAATAATTTGGGATACGTTATCTGTTAACGGGGTGTATGAAAACAAGTGTCTTTACGGTTATCAATCAGAAACGAGCTGCATCATACAGTGTGATATCATGTACCTGATGTCTCCATAACTATAAGTCACACAAACAGGAGGTTACTCACTCGCATGATCTAGCTAAACTCCCGTTAATAAAGACGTCTTCCACGGCTTGCATTTGGCGGCTGTTCTTCATGCAGCGAGTCAGTAGGTGTAAGCAAGCGTCCGCATTTCCTTGAGGGTTCTGCTATATAGTGCCTCGCCGCATAGCTATATAGTTGAAACGCCGCACACAGTAATATTCCATCTATATGGCGATGGTATGTAAATAATCGAGTGTGGACCAGACAATACAGTGATCAACATCGTGAGCATCGATCTACGCAACTGGGTTGCGATGACATGTGTCAACCAAATGAGCGAGTCTGACCACCCGACCCCGTTAGTCGCCTCTTACTGAAGATCAATTCTCACCGGATCTTCACGGGTCAGCATTTATAAGTGATACACATTGAGGCGAGAATTTATGGATGTCAACTTCTTTATTTTGAGGGACACGACGTTTCGGAGTATATTCCTACTCCTTTATCAGCAATATAGTTAAAGCCAGTTTTTAATGACTTTCGCGTCACATCCTTACGTCCCTCACCAATGGAAGGATTCGGTGATTGTGGGTTCGAATCGCAGATTGACTCGGACCTGGTTGTTGGTTGTGCTACTGAAGTGCTATGCTTATAGAATATCAGTTACATTGGCATAATGTGCCCCTGATATAAGTAAAATACCATATGTTCCAAGCTTTGAAGTAAATCATTAAAGTTATTGATTTTATGACTGTATGAAAGAAAGTGTTTGCCCTTAACCCCTAAAAGCTGCAGACCCTAAGGACCCAGAACCATAAAAAGTTGTGGGTCCTGATCAGAATGTGTAGGCCCTATCTTGAAATATGGAAATAATACTCCTAGTTATTGCGGATGAAAAAAGCTGTCGGCCATGAAGACCTGCAGAAAACCAAAGCTGTGGGTCTGAGTGGTTTTCAGTCGGCTTCGGGCCTAAGGACCGACGTTAATTTCGAACGCTGGAAGGGTATTGTTCTGCATGAAACTGATGGTGCCCTAGGTCGCTCTACCATGAGAGCTCTAAATGAGTAGCTAAAATTTATAGACAGTAGTTTGTGATCATTTAGTGGACTCCGTGGTCTTAGGAATCAGAAAATACACAACAAAGTACTCGCCAAATGAAGAACACATTGCTGGCAAAAATAGAAAAAAAGAAGACATATTGCTGGTCTATTGACAAATAGTCAGATAGAGAAAACAACAAACTCACGAATCTGAAAATCCTCAACAAAGTACTCACCCAATGAAAAACATATTGCTGGCAAATACAGAAGAAAGATACCTCGTCCAAACATCGTCAGCGGCTTGTTTCCAGAGAATAACTGGTGTGGCTCAAGCATCAAACTTATATACAGGGTGTCCTCTATAAATCACCAACTTAAGCAGTAACAGACCGATCCCGTCCCGGCCAATTAGCCCCGCACACTCTCGTCTTGTTTTGTTTTTATCACGTTAGAGGGTCAACCACCGACTAATCGCTATGGCGTCACCGCCGGCGAAACGTGATTGCGTTGTTGATGAATTCTGCTTGTGGTACTTTGGTATCCGTCGTTAGTGAATGCTATTGGAAGTTATATATACGTATTTGATTTTGAATATCCTTTAGTTGTTAGATTGTATATGGCGAGAGAAAATGAGTTACAAGCCCGATGAAAAATCGTATAGGCCAGCTGTTGTGAGTGGGAAGCGTATTTTCTTTCGAACCAGTCTGTCAGGCAATTCACGTCCCTCAACCATATTAACATGGGAAGGGTAACTGATTTTGTTTTTGGTTTTTTTGTTTTTTCGTAATTTTATAAAAGTCGTGAACACAACCACATGTGCATGTTGCATATTGTTTCAGTATCTTTAAATTGATTGTCAACATTGCCTTTATTTATTTATTAATTGTTCAAACTTAATTAAACCAATAATCTGAATTAAAAGAATGGTAAATAAAACCAAAGCATAAAAAATATTTCCCCTGTCTACTACTTCGCTCACCTTATTTGTCCTTATTTATTAATGCAAACAAATGAATCACAACATAATCTTATTTGATCTCATTTGGGAATCTAGAAAAGATGATTGCGCTTGTAAACAGTATGTTTCCATGTGGATCTGCCCAGAAGCCGATATTCAGCTGCAAAACTGCAGCAATTCTAAGTAAAACGTCTTTCTTCAAAAGTTTTAACATCTGCACACCATCCGAAAATAACACTGACTATAAGGATATCCATTTTAAAAATAAATCATACTTTCCAATTTGTTGAAATCCTAATTTAAATTAGTGATCCAACTTCCAGAATACTGAACTTCACAAACTGCCAGCGTTTAGGTACAGGTATGCTACGGCATCAGAAATCAAGATATAGTCTGCACCTGTACAATGACCCATCTTCCAGAAATAGGAAACCTGTGATGGCAAAATCCTTGAGCAGAGATTATCCAAACAATGAACTAGTTTTGGAATAGAATGATACACAAAATACAAATATATTTTTAATATATTGCTTTTTCTTAGAATTGTCCTCAGTCAAAGATATTTAACCGCAAACTACTAATGCAAGTTAGGCGCAAAGAATATACCCTAAGTTCAAAGCTTTTTGTCAATAAAATAACATATTCAAAACATTATTGCTTCTTAAGCAATGATAATCTTTGTTTAATTGGATCTGGGGCTATATCCCTAGAATACATAACACTAATTTTGATCTATTTCCTTTACTGAGATACTTACTAATTGTCATAAAAAATGTATTTAAGTTGATTACAAATTTGCAAGTAAATATGAAGCTCATTTTCCAAATAACCATCAACAAAAACCTTAATAAACACTAGCTTTGACTCAGTCATGAAATATTGAAAACTTCCTCAAAAGCTGATGATTTGTATGAAGGATTACATCAAACTGGGATAATATGATTCAATATTCATTCCAGTTATATGAAAATTCAGCTGAGAATTTGGTTATTTATTCTGTTCCAGGACTGGATAATGCTTGACTAAGGTGTGACCAAAATGTAGCCTTTGTATTTTTTTCAAAACAAATAATGTTTTCATAGTTAAGACAGACACTTTTATTTCACTCTGTTCAATATTCCATAATATTCTTCTCACATAGTTTTCCTCTTGGACTCGACCCATGAAGATGCAGGTTAGAATTGGTCTTCAGTAGCCTATGCTTGTCGTAAGAGGCGACTAACGGGATCGAGTGGTCAGGCAGGTGACTTGGTTGACATATGTCGTCGCATCCCAATTTTGTAGATCGATGCTCATGATGTTGATCAGTGCGATGTCCCGTCGTGACTCGATTGCTGAGTGCGGCGTTAAAAACAACCAAACCAAACCGCTTTGATTCACATGGAGTACGGTAATTCAATAAAAGACCCCATCTCTTCATAGTAATTCTGAAATATTCAAAGTATGGTTTTATAGGCACGCATATGACTTAATATTGTGTGGATTTTGCGTGATAAGCAACTGCTGACACTGACTATATCTCCGTTTTGAAAAAAATATTACTCATCGAATATTTTGCACTATTAACATATATAGGCGTTGAAATTTCGATTTTGAAACTTAATAAAATTCATAAAATGTGTGACAAAATTAAGAAATATCTTAGAGACAAGGCTATAATATCCACCACATTGTTTTTTAATGTAGCAATTTATGCTATTTTGGTCGGCTCTAACCGAAATCAGGTGGCTGTCAGATATGTTTACATTGTGCCACGGCATTCTCGCATACCTCAGTTCAGCTTTATGGCCTACTGACTTAATGCCCAGTATTGACTAAAAACGTTAAGAAAAAACAATTTTTTTATTACAATCATTGTCCGTGTTTATAACAAAGTTTCACCTTCGAGCAGATGTAGGTTTCATGAACGATTGTGCCGACATTTAACTAATCGTGAGGCCTATCGCACTCCTTGATAAGCCTCAAATCTTTTGTCTTTGTCTCGTAATGGTTTTGGTAAAGGTACACATGAAATCGCAGCAATACATAACAGATATTGAAGGTGTGAATGACATAGTTCGAAGCAAATCGCTTCGGAGGCATCGTTTGACCTCGGAAGTAAGTCTGACAAATCCAAAAATCGCGCTCGGCCTGCTGATTGGCGCAAATTGACGCATGCGCCAATTTTGATCAAAATGGATCGGTCTATTGCTACAACCCGCGAGTTGTATCCCATAACCCCTACATGCCAGTACCCCTACAGCCCAGTACCCCTACAATTAGTTAAAACAATACACGGCATTTACCTGTCTGGCATAATGAACTGACCCAAAGAGAGATTAGTGCATAGAGTATACAGATGAGATCAAGGGAGGGATTAAACTGTTCTTTAGTGTTTTGTGTCAAGGAAATTTGGGATTAGCTAAAAGTTGTTTTACTTTCATGATGAAAGATAAACCTCTAGTGAGTAGAACAATTTTACAAATTGGATAATGTGTAGGTTGTTAAATGTTGAAATTAAGCTGTTTTAGTTCCATGATAAAAGATACACAGTAATATTATGTGCAGCGCCCTGTACCGCCACCGCCAGAAGACGATTCCTGTTTTACCACAGACGAGATCAGAAGTCGACCTTCAAGATCCCCGGACGCAGACAGCAGATGGTCGACCATTCCTCCTGTTTGCTGACGGCGATGATGACAAGATCCTGGCATTTTGCACCCAAGAGAGTATTCAGGCCTTGCAGTCAGCCGAGAACATCTACATGGATGGAACATTCACTGCCTGCCCTGCACTATGGAATCAAGTCTACATCATACATGCCAGACGTGGGACCAGAGAACATATACAGATTTGTAGAAGTCATTAGGAGAATTGAACATGCTGAGAGGGTGAAGATTTCACAAATAGACTTTGAAGCTGCGACAAGAAGCAGAAAGCGAGTCTTCAGGGAGATTGACAATCGCCTGTGTAGACTCAAGGAGCAGCTTGAGCTTGGACAGAAATCACCTCTTCAGTTCTTGGACGCCGTCGGCTATCTGCTTAAGCTGGGATAGATTGAAACACTGAATGTTCATAGACTGAAACACTTGACACAAATGACTATGTTAACATTGAATGTTAACAATTAATTGTTAATGTCCATCAAAGAATCATGATGACGAATCATTGTTAATTCTTATTTAAATCTTGATGATGACAAATGATGATCACTTTTCATTAAAATCATTCTCTCAACCTTTTAGTTGTGTGTTGTTATGTCGCTTAAGTGGATTAGTCCATTGTGTGGAATAGGTAACAGGCAGTGGATTAACAGTGCAACAGACCGTAAACTTTGTTGTTATAAGCTGTAGGGGTAGTGGCATGTAGGGGTAATGGGGGGTTGCCGTTGTATTAGGGAGTGACCTGGAGATTGTGACGTCTGAGCTTCCTAAGATCATGATCCACAAATGCGTGGCGATAGCCAACCCTACGATAGTCCTCGTGTGTTGGAAGACCAAATATACATATGAGTTGTTTTTTGCTTTTTATTATATTTTTCTCTTTTAGAAATTCCGGTTCAACAGAGAGAAAGAACAGAGGAGTTAAATATAAATATGCTTTCATTTACCCGCTACGCCAGAAGTGTTTTTTGTAGAATAAATGTTACGAAAATTCTAACAATAACGACGGCAGATAAGAAAAATAATCTCCAACGGTTTAACGGTAAAATAATTCAATATGATATTTGTGTTTAATTTCTGCTTATTCTTGTTCCTTCACTCGGAAGCTGGCAAGGGTAACGGAGGCGAAGAACGATTTGAGTGGCGCTTAAAATGTTGAATTAAATACATTGTACGTGAGTAATTATTAAATAAGAAATCTGAGAGCACAACTCTGCGAGGAAATTGGTGACTACCTTTCATGATGACGATATTTTATTTCTATATTAAAAACATTTTTCGAATCGAAGCGAGGGAAGCACGTTGACACCCTTCGCTCGCTTCGCTCGCATAAAGGAAGACTGGTCATTTTCTCTTTGTTGCGCGACCCTATTTTCGCTACATTTTGCCTGTGCTCCAACAGACGACACCAAGGGTACCAAGAATGTATACTCAAGTAAAAATATCCCGTAAAGATGTATCCCACAAGACTTGCCCATGAGCCAATGCCCTCTGACACTGGGCACCAGGCAGATTAATAATCAAGAAACTTTGCTTCCAGCAAACATTAAAGACAAAACAATAGATTTATTTTTAAGAAACCCGAAATTAATCCAAACATACGTACCAGGCAAAGGGCTTGTCGTGGCCAGCTCATTCATAGAACCGGGTCAATTCTACCGCATATGTAGATGAAGTAACTGTCGAAGTGGTTTATTGGGCAAAGGAAAGCTATTACTGGAACCAGTGCACTCAACCGCCAGAATCCCATCCTCTTCCGACACAGGAGCTCAAAACGGTTGCCCAAATTGATAGTTCTTTCGATCAGAAATGTGGTGCTTAGGACCAATACAGACCCAGACCCAGACGAGGGAAGAGCGTTACCCTACACTTACCACGTTGCTCTTCACGAGGGACAGTCTCAGCGGCTGACTGTATACACGTGGAGAGAAGATGTATGTGCACATGTTGACAGGGAATGTGTGTTCGTGTAGACAGGAGATATGTACGTGTGTAACAATCAAACTCTATAGTTAAACTTGTACAATATAGTTTGCAGCCCAGGGCGACAAGTACGACAAGAGGCTATATACACACTTTATACACGCTTGTAAATTATTTTTTTATTATGTACTTCATATTTAATCTTTTGTGAAAATGTATTCAAAATATGAACGTGCATTGCATACCAGGATGGCAAGATGCAGGCAATGTGTGTCATGAACATCTGAGTTCAGTGACTGATATTTTCCGCCATGACAGAGATGACTCTGAAGGTCAAACTGCATACACACAGGGATGACAAGAACAAGTATGACACGTCTCCCGATATGGACGTTTGGCTCCTGTCAGTGTAAATTAAAGCTCTCTACTTTTATATCATGTACCATTGTTAGTACAGAGTGCAGAGTTGCCTCCCTTAGGCATGGCTTAAAACCTATGTTCGGTTCTGATCAACTTGTCTTCAGGCTTTGCTCCTTCATCAATCTCGCTAACTGAAATGCCTAATATGCCTAAGGTGGTAAAGAAAAGAGGTAAGGTTCAGGCGTTTTTGGAGATTCGAACACGTACTCTCACACTGTCACCGATCGACACCACTCCACCATCCACAAAACTGGAAATCTAAACAGCTTACTGTGTGGGGGCCACCGATAAGTGCAACTTATCGCGACTTCATGGCCAAAACTTCTGAATACACAACTTGTTGGTCATATAAGATAATGTAACAATTGTGTCAAACTACATCCTGGAAAAACAACAGTCGACGTACGGGTGTAATCAGTATTTGTATGATTACCCCAATTGATCATATGTACATGATTTATTATCCTCACATCCGGAACAATTTCGCAACATTCAACTCCATTCTATACCGTAAATAAACTAATTGCATAAAAACGTTGGAAAGTCTTCGTGTTTTTCACAAAGAAATAATCAGGATGTGATCAGGTCAAATGTCTGTAAGGTTCACTAATTGCGAAAAACGGCAGATTTAAAATATAAATAGACATAGTTGTAATGCAGAAGCCAATTATCTCAAATGTCTAACATTACCCTATTATCTGGATGCATGTACTACAATAATCGTAACTGCTTTTGCATCATTCACGACAGAAAGGAAATTACAATAAAATTTAAATTTGAAACAAGGTTATGGTGTTTGAATTTACAATGATCATTTCTCCTTCCTTCCTTGCATACGTGACATTCAGCTTATGAGTTCCGTTCGGTGTTACTCTTTTTGAAAGAGTAAATTAAACATTACAGTCGTCAGCGAAGAGGGTCGGGTGTTGTGAGAGTTATCTAAATTAAATGAGTAGATCATTAAGTAGGCCTTTGCCTAGTTGTTGATCACATACATGACAAAGCCATCAGCACTTGTATCAAAAGCAGACGTTCCCACATCTTTGTCAATGACATAAATTAGTCATGGGTGTTTTCTGTAGCATTCTCTTTCACTGATGGGTACAAGAGGTCAAACTGTCAAACGTGCCACAATTCTCAAGAGTTGCGTCCCTACTTCAGGCAGAAACCTATCACTGGTTGTTCCAAACATGTGCCCAGGCAAGTCAAGAGTTCATCTGTACAAGCAAAAGAATATTTGGTTAAAATTACGAACAACATAAATTGGAAACAATCTGGCTATAATTTAAATACTGTCCAAAATGAGGTCAACCCAACTCCCCAACTCACACTCTTGCTAAATGTACTGTTGCTGTTGCTATTTACTATCTGGAATTCCGATGAAATGTCGAGTTCTGTGACTGACCAATTCTGGACATTCGTGAGCGCAACGACCAATGACACAGGCCGTGCTGCTACCAAATATTTCGCCCATTGTATTGTCTTTTATTGTTGCATATCTAATCCTGTGTATATTTCAATTCAATTTGTCAGTTATTCACTGGTATCTCAATGTTATTTAAGGTTATGGCATTTGAGGCCTCTGTAAAACTTTCAAATAACTTATAGTAGACGATTCGTATGCAGTGTGCTACTGAACTGCCGTAGAATACACTGCTGTCTAATTGTTGTCAAAAACCATTCATGTCTATTTCCATGAGTACTATAGTTATTGTTTCCTGGTTTGGCTTAGCCATGACCAAAACCAGAATTTCGCCGAATTGGACTTGCATCAGTTCGAACCATTTGCTGCCAAGAGGGCGAAATTCTAACTTTAAAAAAATCTAACTTTCAAAATTCAAAAATATACTTGATACTCACAAGATTGTAAAAATTCCTTTATTATACAGAAGTATTCAACGCCAACAGAAACATGAAGGGTACACTGTAGCAGAAACGTCGCCAGAAGCTACAATGGCGTGTAGTGTAATGTATCTTTTTCTGTTAGATTTCTACATGTTAGTTGTTAGTTGTTCTTTCCAACAAAAAAAACAAATTAATAATATGTGTCAGAATATTTGTAACGATAATGTTAAAGGAGGAAACACAGTGCGGGCGATTCTGGGAATCGAACCTACGATCATAGAGGCCTAAGGGACGTAACTCTTGTGACAATGAAAACGTGTGATAGAAGAATTGCTATCACAACGTGTCGTGGCAGGGAACTACATTGATCAGTTTAACATCTAGATTTTATAGAACCACGAGAACTAATGCATATAACAAGATGTACATATAGAATAGTGTTCGTACATAATGGTACAAAGGTAGAATTCATGGCATGGTATGAGGTGGGGAAAATAAGTTGGGATGGGTGACTACAGAAGTAAGTGTACGTGTCGACGGGACATATGTGTGTACTTGTAGACAGGGGATGTGTGTTTACTTGTAGACAGGGGGTAGTTTACTTGTAGACAGGGGATGTGTGTTTACTTGCAGACAGGGGATGTGTGTTTACTTGTAGACAGTAGATACGTGTTTACTTGTAGACAGGGGATGTGTGTTTATTGTACACAGGGGATCTGTTTACTTGTAGACAGGGGATGTGTGTTTACTTGCAGACAGGGGATGTGTGTTTACTTGTAGACAGTAGATATGTGTTTACTTGTAGACAGGGGATGTGTGTTTATTGTACACAAAGGGTGTTTACTTGTAGACAGGGGATGTGTGTTTACTTGTAGACAGGGGATGTGTGTTTACTTGCAGACAGAAGATGTGTGTTTACTTGTAGACAGTGTGTGTTTACTTGTAGACAGTAGATGTGTGTTTACTTGTTTACTGTGTATTTACTTGTAGACGGAAGATGTGTGTTTACTTGCAGACAGGGATGTGTGTTTACTTGTAGACGGGGGATGTGTGTTTACTTCTAGACAGGGGATGTGTGTGTAGTTGTAGACAGGGGATGTGTGTTTACTTTAAGACAGGGGATGTGTGTTTATTTTAGATTGGGGATGTGTGTTTACTTGTAGACGGGCTGTGTGGTTACTTGCAGACAGGGGATGTGTGTTTATTGTACACAGGGGATGTGTGTTTACTGCAGACAGGGGATGTGTGTGTACTTGTAGACGGGGAATGTGTGATTACTTGTAGACAGGGGATGTGTGTTTACTTGTAGACAGGGGATGTGTGTTTACTTGTAGACAGGGGATGTGTGTTTACTTGTAGACAGGGGATGTGTGTTTACTTGTAGACAGGGGATGTGTGTTTACTTGTAGACAGGGGATGTGTGTTTATTGTACACAGGGGATGTGTTTACTTGTAGACTGGGGTTGTGTGTTTACTTGCAGACAGGGGATGTCTGTTTACTTGTAGACAGTAGATATATGTTTACTTGTAGACAGGGGATGTGTGTTTACTTGTAGACAGGGGATGTGTGTTTACTTGTAGACAGGGGATGTCTGATAACTTGTAGAGAGGAGATGTGTGTGTTCTTGTCGACGGTAGATATGTGTTTACTTATAGACATGGGATGTGTGTGTACTAGTAGACAGGGTTTGTGTGTGTACTACTGACAGGGGATGTGTTTACTTGTAGACAGGGGATGTGTGATTACTTGTAGACAGAGGATGTGTGTTTACTTGCAGACAGTGGATGTGTGTTTACTTGTAGACAGTAGATATGTGTTTACTTGTAGACAGGGGATGTGTGATTACTTGCAGACCGGGGATGTGTGTTTACTTGTAGATGGGGGATGTGTGTTTACTTGAAGACAGGAGATGTGTGTTTACTTGCAGACAGGGGATGTGTGTTTACTTGCAGACATGGGATGTATGTTTACTTGTAGACAGGGGATGTGTGTTTACTTGTAGACAGGGGATGTGTGTTTACTTGTAGACAGGGGATGTCTGATAACTTGTAGACAGGGGATGTGTCTACTTGTAGCATGGAGATGTGTGTGCTCGTGTCGACGGGAGATATGTGTTTACTTATAGACATGGGATGTGTGTGTACTAGTAGACAGGGTGTGTGTGTGTGTACTACAGACAGGGGATGTGTTTACTTGTAGACAGGAAAATGTGTGTGTACCTGTAGACAGGGGATGTGTGTACTAGTAGACAGGGGATGTGTGTGTACTTGTAGACAGGGGATTTTTTTTAATTGTAGACAGGGGATATGTGTGTACTTGTAGACAGGGTATGTGTGTGTACTTGTAGACAGGGGATGTGTGTCTACTTGTAGACAGGAGAGGTGTGTGTGTGCTTGTTAATATGTGATGCATGAGTTCCTGTAGACAGAATCTTTCTGCATGAGCACACACACACACCTGTCTACACGAACACAAGCACACAAACACACACCCTGTCTACACGAACACACACCTTGTCTACACGAACACACCCAAATATGATAATTTGTTTACTTAATCTATTTGAAAAACGCCATCAAAATATGAGCCGGGATTGTATGCCAAGAGGGCTGGATGCAGGATATGTGTCTCGCGATGACAGGAATGATTGCTTCTAAAGGTCAAACTGCATGCTTGATATGATCTACAAAGCCAAAGAGTAGCTTATATGATTGAAACCCTATGTAAACAAGGAATATATTGTGCCGGTGTTCATTTCTCCTGTTTGGGTCGTACCGAATTTTTATTTATCCAGCAGAGATTTCTCAATGATATGATATGGCTTGTCATTTATATCTAAACAAAATTTCTAAAACAGACCTTGCTTAATTTATTTGATCACCAGCTAACTGAAATGATCATCTGTACTAAACGACTAATGTCCAAATGAAGCGAAATTTTACAAACAAACATTTTACACCGATGACACAGCCCTGCTTCACATAGGTCTCTCACTGTAGCGCAGGCTTTGGTGACAAAATTAGCTTGCCGTCTGAGTGATGCGTCAAGCAATGACACCGTCCATGCAGGATGGACCTCAAGCTGGCGATGTATCCGCTGGAACTTGTGAAGATCAGAGTCATCTGCCAACCGACTGGTGGACATACCCGGTACTAACGTGACTTTGAGACTTCTGTAGTGACATTTCCCACACTTGCCTCCTTATGTGTGTCTTAATGAAATTTTCATTTTAGACCCCTCAGGTCTTTACAAGCCTGTCCTAATGATTGTAAAGGTTTGATTGAATGAATTTGTGCAACATCCTGAAATGAAATGTACCAATCTCAAATTTCTGTATCGTTTTGGTTTTTTCTTTAATGTCCTTTCAAACATGTGGTATCGATTCTCTTGGGCAATAGTTCATTTCAGGTTGTTGCCTGGGTCGATTAATTATACCTCAAGAAAGGGTTTCTGATTCACAGGAACTACATGTATGAATCATAAAACTCGCGTCTGACACTATATCATTCTCTCTCACCGATAATACAAAACACAGATACTAGTATGATTGATAGACTAATATATTCCAAAAAAAACATTACATGGAGTATTGGTTCAGTTTCCTCACTGTCTGCATGGAGGCATGGCGTCGTCTAAGCACGCACGTCCAACACCAGCTGCCGTAAGATGGCGCCAGTACGACCGGAAGAGCACTCTGTGATATTGGTCACTCTTGCTTGCACACAGTTGGCAAAGGCGATACTGAAGTCAGAACAAACGGATTAGATGCAAATTAAAGTACGCATAACCTGTCACCAAAAACACGGCGCATTCATGCTTTTTTTCAATAACCAGGTCATAAGGTACACATGGTGATATGCGTTTATTTGCAAAAGCAGTGTGAGTCGTGAGTTTGGTTTGATGTTTCTCTAAAAGGTATGAAAGGGGAATCCTAAGTGATGCAGGTCTTTGATGTTTACCACTTTGTTGAAGAATGAGGACTATTTTTATGGATATACAACTTCTTTATTCTATATAGGCGACGTTTCGACATAGATTCATTATACAACTTCTTTATTCTGTATAGGCGACGTCGAAACGTCGCCTATATAGAATAAAGAAGTTGTATATCCATAAAAATAGTCCTCATTCTTCATCTACCCAACTTCTAGAATGCCAATCAAGTCAAAGTCAAAGATATTTATTGTACTTAAGGCCTCCGCCCCATATACAAGTAATACAAGTATATGTACAGCACATGTTACAGACATTTCACAAAGAAATTACAGTTCAGATAAGATATCGCTTCTAAGGATAACAGCATGCTTTACATAAAGCGCAAGATTACCTATTACATTTTTATTTTTGTTGAGGATAGAATGGAAGCAAAGGCAGATGAAGGATATTTTAACAAGTAATTATTTGGGATATATGTTTTAAATCAACAAAATGTGGGTATACAAAAGCGAAGTGAATTTCATCTTCTGTAGCTGAGTTACATAATGGACATATCCTTAAACGTCTCTCTATTGAAAATAGAGAAGTCACTTTGTTGAATTCCAACGTACACGGGTATGGTGATTATAGACCTAGTATTTTAGACAGTCCATTTTCAAGAATAAATACCGGACTTTGACCGTCACAGTTCAAAACAACATTAATATAACTTAGTGACGTAATCTGTATTACCCTATCTCGTTGTTCCCTTGAAATTGTCGGGCCCGTAAGTAGGTCACGGCACTTCCCGAGACCTTACGTTGTTTAGCACTTCCCGTGAGAAACAACGTTTCATTACTTTTCAAGTGGTATCATGGTTGTCCGCTGACAGTAAAGAACCGATAATCCTTGTAGGAATAACAAATTTCCGATCTAACCGTCCCCAAATTAGCCAACTATTACGACTGTCAACAGCTGTGACAGCCACGCATGGTTGTACACTTGTTCCGGTCTAGTAAAGTCATATTTGGCGGTCGCGCAACTTGGAACCAGAACTAGTTCTTGAATATACACTTGTCACCGGAAAAATGGTACCGTAAGTAAGCTGGGACCCGTCTCGCATATCGACGTTGGCGCGCGCAAAGGGAGCCCGGAACCAGCTTAGTACCAGAAGTAGCGCCTCGCGAGACTTACAAGCCCTATGGCAACGTTTTCGTATCAGTAAAACAACTTAAGAGGGAAATATGTTATTGGGAAGACATCTGACATACGCATGAGTACTACCAGCCTCTCGCTTGACGACAGAGTATATTTCCCGATTGTTTTTATACGCTGCTGTGGTCATCGTGTGCCAAAGGAAAATCTGAGATGAGAATGTAATGTTAATTTCCACCATCTTTTTACGATAAGCGATCACAGTGGGAAGTAATTCTGAGCGCACCTCTTATCATAAGGCTTGTTTACGTGCACATATTATAGCGTCTTCCGAAAGTATCTGTCGTCTGAACTTCCGAAACCTTGCAGCAATTAAACGTTGCAATCTGTCGCCTTTATTGCCATTTAGGGCAGCATTTGTATTTTTTTTTGTGTTTCTCTTGTTAAAAAGGGATTTTCCCTCGATTTTTTGTTTCGGTTTCTTAATGCACACATACCCTGGTGTATTAGTCCAAGCGTTGATGTTAAGATATCTGGATGTACCGAATATTTAGTTCACCTACGTGTTAATTATATCAATGCTATAACTCAGTATATATCAAGGAAACTTGAGCTGTAACCCTGCATGTACCTGTTTGCATCATGGCACGAAACAACAGCCAGCGGCATCAGCCCATGGGTCCAACATGCCTCATCGTCCAGGATTTCTGTGAAAGAAAGATTTCATAACCTAAGCATTCTGTTTCTTTGCTGTTTAATGCAGCTCTGATCACGTTTCCAGGAATATGACGACAGTCTGTAAATAATCAAGCCTGGACCAGACAATCCAGTGATCAACAGCATGAGCATCGACCTAAGCAGTTGGGATACGATGATATGAATCAACCAAATAAGCGAGCTTGAAGACCCGATCCCGTTAGTAGCCTTTTACAACAAGCATGGGTTGCTGAAGACCAATTCTAACCCGGTTTTGTATTGGTACTGGACCAGAGAATCCACTGATTGGCATCATTGATCTTCTCGGGTAAGAAAACACATAGCCTAAACACATATGAGGTGGAGTTATAAACATTGTCCATTAGAAAATCGTGGTTATGTTGGATATATGATTTACTTTTAGGCATCAACGTGTTACTGAGAGTGACACATAGACTAAGACTGACTGACTGAGTTTAGTTTTACGCTGCTTTTAGCAATATTCCAGCAATTTCACGGCGGGGACACCAGAAATGGGCTTCACACATTGTGCCCATGTGGGGAATCGAAGCCGGGTCTTCGGCGTGACGAGCCAACGGGGGCGGTGGGGTAGCCTAATGGTTAAAGCGTTGGCTCGTCACGCCGAGGACCCGGCTTCGATTCCCCACATGGGCACAATGTGTTAAGCCCATTTCTGGTGTCCCCTGCCGTGATATTGCCGGAATATTGCTAAAAGCGGCGTAAAAATAAACTCAGTCAGTCAGTCAGACGAGCCAACGCTTTAACCACTAGGTTACCCCACCGCCCCCATGGACTAAGAGTTCAAATGGGACTGCTCAAATCTTCACATGCACATACCTGTTTTGTGTCTACAGAAGGTATCGAAGGCAATGAAAAGGTCCTCCATTTCGACATAGGGCATACATCCCGACGAAGGGTGTTTGCATTCATTTGCAAGGGTCAGTGTCTCTCGACTGCAAAGGGAACATGCCGAATTATCAAATGTAGAAATTTATATAGCAGGTGGGAAAATTTAAATGTAATTACCTTGGTTAGAGTCATTTTATTTTGCGATTGAATTTGTCTCTTAATGTAGAGCAAGGGACGTCAGTCAGAGGTAGAATATCACTACTCTGAAATGAGTAGACGTGAATTGTTTCTTTATTTTATGAAGGAAATTTGATACTAACCTGCAGCTGAGGGTCAGTCTGCCATCTTCGATAAGATTACTGAACGTTGGCCGTGCCATGATCCGAAAGACTGGTTCGTATATGAGCTCACATGGGGTTTCAAAGCAATCAAATCCTGGTTCTTCGTAAGTGTCTCTCCTTGTAAGCCAGTCATGACCGGACACTAAATGGACGATAAGGAGAAGGGTATTGTCATCAACGAAGCAACATAGTAGGTAAAAGTCTCTGTCATTGAACTGAAGATGCAATAAGAAATGGGTTATCATACAGTCAAATCCCGATGAGTCGAATGCCGGTGTCTCGAATATTATGCATAACTCGAAGTACCCACGTGGTCAACGTATGGGTAGTTGCATACTAATCTCGTACGTCACACGAGTGTCGTATCGCGTTGACCTGTGTCGTAACGACTTGACCTGAGATTCTGACGATTTGATTGGATAACCGATGACCTCTCAATTAGGTCACATTCTGACGTAACTATTTTTTCATTCATAACAAACACGTGAATTCATTCATTCTACAACTTAAATGCATTGTGGAAATGTAAACATTGCGAACGTTGCCGTGTCGCTGTTTAATTGTGAGTCGAACTGAGACATTATATTCGTCGAAAAACATATACGCAATGTTTCCACAAGTGATGTATGCCGAATGAAGCAACTGCAAACCAAGAAACGGGGTGCTACGGAGTAGTTTACTATAGGAGGCTGCACGAGGCGACATGCATCGTGTCGTCTGTTACCAAGGCAGTGACGTCATTACAGTGACGTCATGCAAATATTGTACAACCGTACAAAACTCTTCCGCAACCTCTTTATGAAACCGGTTTCGGTTTAAAACCATAAAAATAAAAAAATACGCTATTTGGTCAATTTAACGCATGTAAGACGTGGGTAATAAATAAAATTAAACTTTGAAGATAACACCTTCAGCATTATAAGTGCTGTGTGTTGAGATATCCTGGCATGACAAATCATATGAGATACATAGAGAATACCACACTCGGTCTCATTACATACGAATTATACGAAACTCGTGACCTTCCTATGGTCCTATGCTTCCTATGCTCGCTTTCGCTCGGTCAGATACCATAGGAAGGACACTCGTTTCGTATAATTCGTATGTAATGAGACCTCGTGTAGTATTCTCTATGTATCTCATATGATTTGTCATGCCAGGATATCTCAACACACAGCACTTATAATGCTGAAGGTGTTATCTTCAAAGTTTAATTTTGAAAGAAATTTATTTGAAATGTGGTAACGATTATCATGAGGACGAACCGAACGATTATTGTTTTCTGACACGAGTAATGTCTGCACCTCAGTATAACTCTATGCAACAATTAGCCATCAGGTAATGGAACTGGAAAATAATACTATCTGGGTTAGAACTGATCTTCAGCAACCCATGCTTGTCATAAGAGGCGACTAACGCGATCGGGTGGTCAGGCTCGCTGACTTGGTCATCCTATCCCAATTGCATGGATCGATGCTCACGATGTTGATCACTGGATTGTCTGGTCCAGACTCGATTCTTTACAGACCGACGTCATATAGCTGGAATACTGCTGAGTGTGGCGTAAAACTAAACTCACTCACTCACTACAATATGAAGGTTACTTACCAGATGAGAAGAGAACAACCGCCACACATATTACCAACGCCATCCTTACAGCAAGCAGTTGATGTCTGAAATATCACAACAAGTCACATGATCATGTATCCGGTTTGAGTCAGTTACAGTTATCATCCTACGCTTTCAAGCAAAGGTTATCTCTGCCACTTAACGGGGCAGTGGGGGTGACTTTGTGACTAAAAGCGTTCGTTTGTCACGCCAAACGCCAGGGACCCTCTGCCGAACGCGTTCGTAGCACTACGTTATTCGTTAGCCAATGATATGCTATAGAACGCTTTGTGGATCGGGACCCCGGGGTCTATAAACATACGGGTACAATGTGTGAAGCCTAATTTTGGTGTCATTTTTAACAACACTTTTCCCTGTATTGGTAGGGTCGAAAAACTGTTATTCCATTTGACAACATAAGGACATCATTTGACATCAGAAGGTTCATTAAATTGTATATATCTCCTGGACGTATGCGTTAACTTCTCTCCAAGCATATCTTCCACTTTATCAAAGCCTTTGATCACTCACCTTTCCATTTTACCTATCTTAGTGAAAGGTGATGATGGTGTGGTTACAGCCCGGCAAAGCCACATTTAAGAAAAAACAGGCTGAACATCGTGTGGCGTTCCTGGCAAAGGACACGGATGAACAACGGAGGAATGTGGCTTTGGCGGCAATGCTATCACAATATTGTTAACCTCTGTAATAAGGTACCGTATTTAACACAGAAAAGCAAAGATATATACCATTTATTTTCAGTTGTATTCATAGCAATGCATTGTAGCATAGTAAAAAACACTCACACAACTCATATTTAATTCACACCATCATCAATTCACATAATTAATTCTCAGCATTAATCACAAGCATACACATAGTATAGCCTAGTATAGTTCATTCAAAATGGAGCAGGCCGGCGATGCGGTCTGCATACTCTACATCAGTCAAATGCTGATTCACCAACTGTGTCTGCAGTGACCTTAGTCAGCTGTCAATATTTCTGTATTTCTTGCGTCTTGAAGTGGCTGTCCAGTGGGTCGACAGTCTCAAGACTGCAACTTCCGTAAATGATTGTTCGCGTTTGAACAGTTTGACAATCTCAAAAACAGTTGGGATGGCACTTTTGGGCTAACTGGTTGATCTTGTGACGTAGTCCATGAAGGCAGTAACAGTCACAGGCACAGCTTACCTTTGATCCTTATATCCTTTGATCATATGTTTGTTCTATATAACATCATTTGAGATCTTAAACCGACTAATTATATAAACAATATCAGGGGCGTTTTTTTAACTAGTCAATAACTCTGTACTTAGTTTGTGTATTGAAAATGTGGCTTTGCCGGCAATTCCCCTTCAAAATCATATGGGGCTTTGTCTCACCGTCTTCAACCATTCAGAAGGCTGACTTTCAAACTCTCTATGACCAGCTGCCAAAACCCTGTTATATTATGGGGGACTTAAATGGCCACAACCCACTTTGGGGTGGTACAACTACTAATGCTAAAGGTAATTTATTGGAAGAGTTCTGTTCAGATAATGATTTATGCATTTATAATGACGGTTCCAACGCATATTTACATCCTGGCACGAGAACATATTCAGCTCTAGATCTATCAATTACAGACCCAGACCTATTGAGTGAATTGAATGGTCATTTGCGAACGGTATTAAAACATGTGAACCCATCTGATACTACCTCATCCTCGAGATGTAACTTTAAAAACTGGAACTTATATCGAACTCTGTGTAGCAACAGACTTAAACCTGAACTTTTATAGAGGTTCCTGATGCCCTAATATAGCTGATGAGTGTATCCCTAAATCTTCTACAATTCCACACATACGAAAACCTTGGTTCACCGATGGGTGCAAACAGGCTAGGAAGGCATGGAAGCAAGCTGAGCATTATTTCCGTCGCCATCTTAAGTGCATACTTTAAATAAATTTTGAATTTTAAATGCTAAAGCACGGCGTACCTTTAAACAGATTAAACGCCAATCTTGGCAAAATTATGTATCCAAAATAAATTCTCGAAAGCCCATGTCCAAGGTATGGAACATGGTCCTGAAAATGAAAGGTAAAGGTACTAAATCTAGTGTCCATCATCTTTAACATGGAGATCAATTACTTACCGATAAATCAGATATTGCGAATAAACTGGGTGAAACTCTCGCTAAACACTCTTCCTCTTCTATTTATATGCCTAAATTCCAACAATATCAGAAACAACAAGAAAAGAGTACTATTAATTTAAATTCAGATAATGGGGAAGATTATCATGAAATATTTTGTATTCATTGCTCTTGATCAAGCTCACGATACTGCTACAGGAAATGATAACGTACATTATCAACTCCTGAAGCACTGACCTGAATCATGTTTAGAGACGCTCTTACACATTTTAGATGATATTTGGACGTCAGGGAAATTTCCTTCCTAATGGCGTGACGCTATAGTATTACCAATACCTAAACCTGGACGTGATCATACGGATCCGTCCAATTATCGACCGTTTTCACTAACTAGCTGTGTTTGCAATACCATGGAACGCATGATAAATAATCGTAGAATAATACTGGGAAACAAATAACCTTATAACAGATATAAAATGTGGTTTCCGTAAAAACAGAAGTACTGTCGATCACCTATTGCGTTTGGAATTATTTGTTAAAAACGCTCTAATTAATAAACAACACGCTGTGTCTATCGTTTTTTTATCTTGAAAAAGAATATGACACGACGTGGAAATATGGCATTTTAAAAGATTTACATGACTTCGGATTTCGAAGCCGTTTGCCAACTTTTTAAATGACAGACAATTTCAAGTCCGCGTGGTTCTACGCTGTCTGATCATTACAATCAGGATCAGGGTGTCCCACAAGGCAGTATTTTGTCTATGACTTTATTTAGTATCAAGATCAACAGTTTATCAAAGCTTTTAAATGATTCAATGGATGGATCACTTTTTGTGGATGATTTTAATATTTCTTGTCGCGGTAAAAAATATGCATACTATTGAACAGCAAATGCAGTTGTGTCTAAACAAAATAAATAAATGGTGTTTAGAAAATGGTTTAAGTCCAAAACTAACTGCATACATTTCTGCCGTAAATACAAACCACATAAAGACCCTGAACTATTTGTAAACGGCACATCTATCCAAGTTGTAAAAGAGACCAAGTTTCTAGGTCTTAGTTTTGACTCCCACTTGACGTTTTTGTCGCATATTACATCTCTTAAGGCTTAATGCTTGAAGGCACTTGACTTGTTAAAAGTTGTTTCCAATTCAAAATGGGGAGGGGATCAAACTACCCTTCTTCACTTATACAGATCACTCATTCGCTCCAAACTTGATTATGGCTCCATTGTATATGGTGGAGCCTGTAAAAGCAACCTTAACATGTTAGATTCTATCCATCACGAAGGTCTAGACTTTGTCTTTGATCTTTTAGAATTTCTTCTGTTGACAGTCTTTACGTCGAGGCAGATGAGCAATCTCTTACACAACGACGTATAAAATTATATTTACAATATACTACAAAACTATACTCTAACAAATCTAACCCTGCATAATCCCCTCTATGAGGATTTATACAATAAGAAACCTTCTCTTGTTCCGCCTCTTGGGCTCAGAATTAAACCTTTCATTTCTGCTGCCGGCATTGAGCTGGACAATATATCTCCTTCCCGTCTTCTTTATTCTCCTCCTTTACAATTGGTTAGGCCCCAAGTTGACCTAACATTGACCATATTTAAAAAAAATCAGAAACTAATGAAGTACAGTGTTAACAAGAATTCAGTCAATAAAGAAATAAATATAATACATATAAATCCTTATTTACAGATGGATCCAAGGATGGTTGCGCTGTAGCTTGTGCCACTGTCATTGGGTCCAGAACAATATCTTCTCGATTGCCTGATAACAGCTCTATTTTCTGAGCGGAAGCTAACGCCATATTAACAGCGTTAAAATATATTAATACACACCCTTAATATAAACAATATATACTGAGTCAAAAACGAAACTTCACAAAATGTAATTTGAAAAATAATGAATAATTTTTCTCTGATGATACATCTATGTATCCGAAATGGGATCCCTATCTTTCGACTCTAGACAAACGTTAGCAAAACCCACTCAAACCAATCCATTCGTCGTGCAAAAGACGTTAGTGCCATATCAGGTTTTGCACGTGCAGTCGATCACGTGATCTTCGCATCGAAGTTTTCTTCATATGCATTGGCCTCAAGAGTTGAAAAAACACTTTTAAACCACAGTTCTAACGGTACTTGAAATGCCACGATTGTCAAATGTGCAACGTGAACGTGCCGTTGGCATGTTGCAAGCGGGAAGATCAGTTATTGACGTCGCAAGAGCAATGAGATGCAGCCGTTGTACTGTGTATGACTTGCGAGGTCGTTACAACAAACTGGCACCACTTCTGATCGCCTAAGGTCGGGTCGTCCACGTGTGACGTCACGAGCAGAAGACCGTCAAATCGTCCTACGTCACCTACGTGACAGATTTCTGCCGGCTACACGAACCAGGGATGAGATGTTTAGAGGTCGACTGTCCTCACAGACCATTCGAAATCGGTTACGGGCTGCCAATCTCTATTCTCGACATCCATATCGTGGGCCAATATTGACGCCGTTTCATCAACGTCAACGTCTGCTGTGGGCCCAACGTCACCTCCGATGGACCCAGAGAGACTGGAATCGAGTGGTCTTTAGCGCTGAATCCAGGTTTACCCTCAGATTCGCGGACGGCAGGCATAGAGTCTGGAGACGACGTCGTGAACGGTATGCCCAATGTTGTGTACAGGAAGTCGACAGATTCGGGGGCGGAAGTTGCATGGTGTGGGGTGCTTTCTGTGGGAACAGCCGTTCCCGACTTCTGGTCATCCGTGGAAACCTCACAGCTGCTGCTTACCGCGACCAGGTGCTCACCCCTGAACTCGTTCCTTTCATGGTGACTCATGGCCCAGGTCTACAGTTCCAGCATGGTAATGCTCGGGCGCATACCGCGATGTTGACACGAAATTTCCTTCAAAACGCTGGAATCAACGTCATGGACTGGCCATCGAGGTCCCCTGACCTTAATCCAATAGAGCACGTTTGGGGTGCACTTGGGAGAAGGCTTCGCGGTCTTAGGAACCAACCTCAGAATTTGCAGTAACTTGGCGCTGCCTTGCAAGAGCAATGGCGCAGAATCCCCAACCACGTGTTCACAAGCCTCAGGCAGTCGATGAGGAGACGGTGTTTGGCAGTGGTGAATGCGCGGGGCGGCCATACACGATATTGAACTGAGAAATTTCGCATTTTTATTCTTGTAACTGTACATTCTGTTTACCCATGTTTTGGAACGGCGGTGTAGCCTAATGGAAGTGATTATGGCACTGTCAGTGTATCGAGTACATCACACAGATCTCAGCAATGAAATAACAACAATTTAACCATCTTACCATCTCGTTCTTTTATAGTGCCCTGAAGAAAGAATGTGAAATTTCTTTTTTGACTCAGATATAATCCTTTCTGACTCTCTTTCTTGCCTTCAGGCGATTAAAAATCTTTCTTGCAAACATCCACTTTTAATAGAAATTATTGAATTGAATAATGATCTTGCTACTGGCTAATACGACATCGTCCTCTGCTGGTTACCCAGCCACGTTGGCATTTCTGGGAACACAATGGCTGATCTTGCTGCCAAAGCAGCTCTCAACAAATCTGTGAAACCACTTCTTATCCCGTACACTGATTACAAAGCTAATATAAGAACCTACATCCGTGATCTGATGCAGAAGAAGTGGGACACTCATGTAGGTATCAATAAATTACATGAAATAAAACCCTATATCGGTAACACTTACTTGGGTTGTCAGTCCAGATTTGAAGAGGTCATCATACGACGATGTCGTATTGGCCACACAAGATATACTCATGCATACCTATTGAAAGGTGAGGATCCTCCGTTTTGTATCCTTTGTGATGAGAGAACCACGGTCAAGCATGTCCTGCTCGACTGTGTTGAATTCTCCATCATAAGGGATAAATATTTCTTCATTTAATCATTGATTTTTTAAAAGAGATAGATTTGTTTAATTAATTTTGATTATGTTTTGTAAATAGATAGAATTTTATAATTGGTAGTTCAGATTATCAACTTAAATTGTTAGTGACTGTATCCTCAAAGGGGGTTGAAGTAGCGTACAATTATTGTCCTCCTGAGAGGATACGTAAGTCCCAAACACTTTCCAAGTCAATTTCGCTCAACCATACTTTTTAATAGTATTTTTGTAATTCTAAATTTCGGCTAAATCTTCCTACCACCGCCAGCGGCTGAAGGGACGGTGTAAATCCAACTAAGGTCCATGCAGGTAGCAAAAGTAATGTAAGTCCCCATGGTTCCTGGTATGGTGATCTACCTTCAGTTGTTGGCGATCTATAGCCCGTGTTTTATATTGTTTTGTCTGCTTTAATTAAAATGTTGTTTTTCTTCATGCTAGTTTTATATCCATATCTGTGGATACTCTAGTTATTTTACAGTCCGTCGATGACTGGTTAATTAACCTACTTGTATTTATTGTGTATGCCCAACATTTCTCTTAACTATATGGCTGAAATATTGCCGAGGTGACGTTAAATATTAACTTACTCACTCACTCATCCATGCAGATGCAATTATGAATCAATTATAGATCACTATACTTCTTCACAGGCATACCAATTAATCATGATATAACACATTAACTGACTAAGAGAAAACAGACGGTCTCGATTATCTGCCGTTAGCAGAAAGGTTCTCACGCCCACCAATGCAGTTTGGTGATTCATGTCGGACTGGCTGGTTGGTTGGTTTGTTGTTTAACGCAGCACTCAGCAATATTCCAGCTATATGGCGGCGGTCTGTAAATACTCGAATCCAGTGATCAACAGCATGAGCATCGATCTACGTTATTGGCATGCCAAACCACCCGATCTCTAGTCATACAAGCATAGGTTGCTGAAGACCAATTCTAACCCGGAGCCCACAGTCACAATATATTGTGCATTTAAAGATAAAAGCAAAAACTTCGCAAAGTGAACATGGGAAGCACTCAAAATAATTTTATTTTGCGCATGCGCAGAATGCTTTGTTTGTTGTTAACGCCGCCGTTAATATTACTGCTATAAGGGAGCGGTCTGTAAATAATCGACTATGAAACAGACAATATAGTGATCGATAGCATGAGCATAGATCTATGCAGTTGGGATACGGTGACATATGCAAATAAAGTCAGCGAACCTGACCACACTATTCTATTGTTTAACCCGAATCTTCATGGGTGTACAATTTGACATCAGCCTCCCACACACCCTCGAGTTACACAAAAGAGCCTTCACACATATGCCCGTGACCAGCCTACAGTAGAATGTTACACTCAACATAAAGGAACATGCTGTATTCGCTGTAAGAGGATGAGTAATGCTGTGGAGTGCTCAAAGAATGTCAGAAAGAATGACCACCCGATCCCACTAGTCGCCTCTTACGACAGGCATGGATTCCAGAAAGCCAATTCAAACTCGCATCTTCACGGGCGTTTGCAGAAGGTAAATACCACTTTGTCTTTTGTCGCTATACTGTTTTAGCTCTGGAAAGGCCAGCGATGCATTACAGGGAAACTTGAACCAAAATAATGATTGCCCATATTCTGGTTAA